AGATACAGAATATAAAGCAGGTTCTAGGCTCTGAGCTGTTGGCACAGATCTGGATGTGGGGCCCGAACTTGCGAGATCATGACCTGACCTGAAGTTGGACACTTAACCGACTGAGACACCCAGGCGTCCCTAAAGATTTTATTTTTAAAGGGACGCCTGGGTGGCTCAGTCGGTTAAGTGTCTAGCTCGTGATTTCGACTCAGGTCATGATCTCATGGTTCATGAGATCCAGCCCCATGCATAACATTTAATATGTTAAACTATACATAACATTTAATCATTGAAATCATAGTATATTTATATAATTTCATTATGGTTTACATTATGTCATATATGACTTATTGTCATTTTTAAGAATTATATCCTGTCTCTTTAAAGATTACTTATTTATTTTTAAGTGATCTGTATACACAACATGGGACTCTTAACTCTTGACCCTGAGATCAAGGGTTGTATACTCTACTGACTGAGCTAGCCAGGCAACCCTGTTATTATCATTTGCGATGGATGTATTATACACCATTCCTACATAACTGGGCTTGAAGCTTGTTTTTAATTTTTAGCTCTTTTTAGATAATGCTTTAATTTTCACTCTCTTTTTTTTTTTTCTGTTTTGTTTTTTTCCTGTTGGAAGTATTTCCTTATGCTAAATTCTCAAGGTTGGAATTACTAAAATATGGTGTTGAATTATTTTTTTAAGAGTTTTTTTTTTCTTTCTTTCTTTTTTTTTTTTCTTTTTAATGTTTAGAGAGAGAGAGTGTGTGTGAGCAAGGGAGAGGCAGAAAGAAAGGGAGACAGAGGATGCCAAGCAGGCTCCATGCTGCCAGTACGGTCCGATGTGGGGCTCAGACCCACAAACCGTGAGATCATGACCTGAGCCAAAGTTGGACACTTAACAGACTCAGCCACCCAGGCGCCCCAAATTAGTTTTTACTTTAACCTTCCCCCTTCCCCCCCCGCCCCCCCGGCCCAATCAGTGAATTCCCAAGTGTTGTTGATTCTTCGATTATGGATCTGGCATAAGTCTCTTCCTTTCTCATGTTTCAGCCAATTCAATTCTGTCTCATGCCAGGGTTATTGCACCCTTTTTTCCCCTAACTGATTTCCCGAGTCTCCAGTGTTTCCACTTTCCAATTCACCTTTTCATCCTGCCAGATTAATGTCCCTAAAACACTGCTTTGAATTCATTCATTGACAAATATTTACTGAATGCATGCCATGTGCCAGATGTTAAACTCCTTAACTGACATTTCAAGGCTGAATGTTCTCCCCTCATTTAAAAAAAGTTTTTTTTTTAATGTTTATTTATTTTTGAAAGAGAGAGAGCGTGCGCACGTGAGCAGGGAATGGGCAGAGAGAGATGGAGATACAGAATCTGAAGCAGGTTCCAGGCTCTGAGGTGTCAGCACAGAGCTCTGTGCGGGGCTCCAACTCACAAACTGTGAGATCATGACCTGATCCAAAGTTGGATGCTTCAATGGAGCCACCCAGGCGCCACTCCCTTCCTTTACTTTATACCAGTCCTCTCACCCAGCATCTCCTGATCATGCCATCTCCATTCCCATGTGTGACATTTTGTTTTAGAATGAGCTTCTATTTAGAATCCAATCTGCTTCGTTTTTCATTTACTTTAGTTTGACTCTTTAAAGCCCAGGTTGGGTCTCAATTTTCCCTCCATGAAGCCTCAGTTTTTTGATTTCTCAATTTATACTCTTGTGTTTAAACTGTTGGATTTAAGCAAGCAGTATCCTCAATGGCTCTCTTTTTATTCACCAGATAAACTTCAAATTCCTTGACCTGTGTTTAATGCTTTCCAAGATCTGGCCCCATATTTTATTACCTAACATAAAGAGTCTGACTTACTTGGACTCCTCTACTTTTTATTCTTTAAATACCCCAACCCCCTTCCCACATCCATGCCTTTTTTGCTTGTTCTTTGTCCCATCTTTTCTACCTTTCAATTTGTAACCATTTTCTTTAACATTTTTTTCAGTTTTATTTTATTAATGATATTTGCATTTTGAACAGAAAGCCAATTAAGGGGTGCCTGGTTAAACATCTGACTCTTGGTATCTGCTCAGGTTATGATCTCACAGTTTGTGTTGGGCTCTGTGCTGACAGTGCAGAGCCTGCTTGGGATTCTCCCTCTCTCTCTCTGTCTCTCCCCCAGTCTCAATAAATAAGTAAACATTTAAAAAAAAAAAAAAAAAAGCAAATTTGTGGAACAATACATCATCTGTGTGGAAGGCCCTGGACCTGAATTTTACAAATCTTTCTTTTTACAAAAGTGATACTTAAAAAAAAAAAAAAGATAATACATGAGGCACCTGGCTGGCTGTCGGTAGAGCATGCAATTCTTGCTCTCGAGAGCAAGGGGGTTGTGAGTTCAAGCCCCATGTTGACTGTGGAGGCTACTTAAAAAAGTAAAACAAAATATGTATGTATATATAAGATTTTTAAAAACATAAGTTGCATAAATAAATATATCTATAAGGGCAAAAAGTATATATCCTAATTGTTCATGGTTTCTATTACCTCTTCTTCTAGGTTACCCCTCTTAAAATAACCAGTCTTAAAGGCTTGGTATCTTGGTATGTGTCCTTCCATACCTTTCTCTTTGCCCCTGTGCCCAGACTGTATGGACTGCTAAGTGCTGCTCCTTTTGCCCCCCAAAATCGGGAGCATACCCTATAGCAGCAGTTCTTGAAATGTCCAGGATCCCTGGGGGTTCCCTAAGAGACTCTCAGGATGTCTGCAAGCATAACTGGTTTTATTATAGACTAAGATGTTCATTGCCTTTTATTTGCTGGGTTGACGTTTGCCCTGAAGGTACAAAAGCCAAGGTGGGGAAAACCACCGGCCTCTTAACACTAATCAAGGTGGTTGCACCAAACTACCAGTCATTGTGTTCTTTGCTGCCACATGCTTGCGGTAAATAAGGCCAGTTTCACTTAAGAATATCCTTGATTATCCAATAAAATTGACTAACTTTCTTAAACCCTGACCTTTGAATACACCTCTTTTTACTTATTTTTTTTCCAGCTCTACTGAAATAAAATGGACATATAACATTGCGTAGGTTTCAGGAGTGCAATGTGATAATTTGATCCATGTATATATTGTGAAATGTTTACACAATAAGGTTAGTTAACACATCCTCCACTTCACATAATTGCCATCTTGTTGTTAAAACTCTACTCTCATAGCAACTTTCAAGAATACAACACAGTTCTGTTAACAATGGTTACCATGCTGTACCTTAGATTCCTCACAGCTTACTCATTTTACAACTGACAGTTACTCCTCTCTTTCATGTTCTCTGTGGACTAACTGGGAAGTAAGGATGAAACACTCTACTGCACCCTGGAGTCAGGTGGTGTCTTAAGGAAAAGCACTGGCGCAATTGTCTGCAAGTCGCAAGCTAAACAAGCTTCCTTTTCACGGAACACCATTTTTACTTAAAAGACCCACTGACAAACCAGTCATTCAGAACTGGGCATCTGATTGGTATCTTCCTGAAAATGAAGGATGTGAGCCTGTCATTTCAAGGAAAACAACTGACAGTATTTATTGCCGATGGTAAAATTCAAGCCTTCAAGTAAAAATCAGAATTTTGGAAAAGTTATATTTGCCACTGCAAGCTTGACAGCTTTCCAGTAAAGACTTTTCTGAGGAGATTAACAAATATGTTTTTTTCTTTAATATTGCATGGTGAAATGGATGATATTGCAAAATAAGAGCAGAAGGGGGATCCTGAAATTAAAAACTTGGAAGATAACTACTCTTTACATTATCTTGCAACTTGCTTTTTCACTTAGTGTACCATGAACACCGTTTAAGCCAAAAGCTATACATTTATTTTTTATTATTTTTTTCAGTGTTTATTGATAGGTAAAACTATATAAAATCAAGGCCTGAAAATGACTTGATAAATTAAGCAGACTTAATTTCAATGCTATAATAAGGATCATTTAAATTCTCACCATTTGATTCACAGTCACAAAACCACTTCAAGGGCATTAATGATCTCTCAAAACTGATCAGTTTTGTGCAAGTAAACCATGTTTCTTTTAAAAAGACTTGTGCACTTGCCGGGGCTCAAGGATATTAAAATCTAGCACATAAAGCCCATTAATAGAGGTCAAAATACAGGCGATACAGTATCATGCAACAACCATCAATTACAGTTAAGAATTTTTCTCTAACAACCAAATGGATGATCAAATATTGCAACAACTCAAGTTTTACTGAGCAAAGTGCATTTCTAAAGTATTCAGTGTTGCTATTCTTTTTGTAACGTAAAATAGCCTATAATTGGCAGCAAAGAAAGTCAGTGCGTTAATATCTGACCTTTTTCATAAGAGCATTGTGTTCCATCCTGTGAATGATCCACATGTATTCGATTGTTCATCTGTTGGTGGTCATTCAAGTTGCTTTCAGTTTTTGCTGTTTTGAATAATGCAGCAGCAAACATCATTTACAAATATCCTTGTGTACTGGTGCTTTTATATCTGTAGTGTGGATTCTTAAAAGTTGACCTGTTTTTCATGACCCATCTTAATAAAGCTTTCCCTGTCTACAACATCTTCTCTGGTCATTTCTCCTTGCTATGGTTCTTGTTTTTGCCCTCTTTTGGCCTCTTTTTCAGTTTTTCCCTTTTGATGCCCCAATGCTATTATTGTCGTGTGTGTGTGTGTGTGTGTGTGTGTGTGTGTGTGTTTAAACTCTTCCTCTGTGCCTGTCCTCTTGCCAACTAGATTAGGAATAGAAAATAGTATAAAAATAGAAACTCCTGAGGGCAGGGATGGTGTATTATACCTCAGTAAATAATGGGCACTCAGTAAATAATGATGAGAGGGGGATTGAGGGTTGATAAGAGAAAAGGATGCATTTAATGGATGGATGGGTGCTGAGGAAAGCTGTGTGCATTCACGCATTCTTTCAAATTGGGAACTATTTGAAAATTAGAGTAACTGTCCAACTTCATTCTCTCATTGCAGGCAAATACATTGCCTCAACACAACGACCCGACGGGACCTGGCGCAAGCAGCGGAGGGTGAAAGAAGGCTATGTGCCCCAGGAGGAGGTCCCAGTGTGCGTGGTTAGGCCTGAGGAGGGGGTATTTAATAGAGTCCCTACAGAAAAGAAGAATCTTCTGATCCCAATATTCCACGAAATGCGAGGAGGGAGCAGCTATACGAGAAAGAAGGGGGTGGGGATCTGACATTCAGGGATGAGTGAGGGTTACAAGCGACTAGTTCTGTACCTGTTGGCCTCTGTTCATCAGAATCTCCAAACCGCATTCAGGATATGGAACTTTGAGACCCGGAGACGCTCCCACAGCCTGCAGAACAGAGGAAAATTGGGGAGGGACCCCAGGAGAGGAAGGAAGCCAGAGAGCGAAAAGGGTGAATTGAGTTGGAAGGCTAAGAAAAGGGCTCCAGATGTCAGTGCTTCTTTGAAACTGTTGACATCTCTTCCCTGCAGGTATGAGAACAAGTATGTGAAGTTTTTCAAGAGTAAACCTGAACTGCCCCCAGGTCTGAGCCCCGAGGCCACTGCTCCTGTCACCCCATCCAGACCGGAAGGTGGCGAACCGGGCCTCTCCAAGACAGCCAAACGCAACCTGAAGCGGAAGGAGAAGCGGAGGCAGCAGCAGGAGAAGGGGGAGGCAGAGGCCTTGAGCCGGACTCTCGATAAGGTGTCCCTAGGAGAGACTGCCCCACACCCCAGTGCTCCGCAGGGTTCCCGGGCAGCCCCTGCAGCTGCGTCTGACCAGCCCGACTCCGCTGTCACCACCGAGAAGGCCAAGAAGATAAAGAACCTCAAGAAGAAGCTTCGGCAGGTGGAAGAGCTGCAGCAACGGATCCAGGCTGGGGAAATCAGCCAGCCCAGCAAAGAGCAGCTGGAGAAGCTAGCGCGGAGGAGGGCGCTAGAGGAGGAGCTCGAGGACTTGGAGCTGGGCCTGTGAGGCCTTTGGGGAACAGGGAATGGACTGCAGAACAAACCATGGGGCTCTCTGGGGTCCTGGGGAGTGTGGGCAGCAGCAGTCAGGGGGGCAACCCCCCCATACTGACTCACTTCCACCTCTCGCGGCCCAACTCCGTCCTCCAGAGCCCAGCCTCGCCGTCATTCCTTCCCTCTTCTTCCCAACTCCTATTTTTTGGACTTTTCTCCCTCCCATTCCCAGTGTTCAAAATCTCAGTGATTACCCCAGGTACCTTTGCTGCTGATTTGGGTGTCTTGTTTAAAAGAAAATGGGGCTGGTGGGAATGTCTTGGAGAACTGACGTTGAGGGTAGGGGGAGTACACTCAAGTCCGAGTCTTGGTTCCTGTCCACAGTGTTTATGGGTTATTTCTCCCTCCATCCCACACCATTTTTTTTTTTTTTTTTTTTAAAGAACAGAATAAACTCAAGTAGACAACATGTCTGGCTTTGTCCCTCTTTCCAGCTTCTACTAGGTGTATTAGCTCCTCCAGTTTGGTACAGGAAGACAAATATTGAAAGTAATATCCCCCCTCCTTTTTTTTTTTTTTTCCCCAAGTAGGCTGCATGCTCAGTGTGGACCCAACACTGGGCTTGAACCCATGATCCTGCGATCAAGACCTGAGCTGAGATCAAGAGTTGGATGCTCAACAACTGAGCCATCCAGGTGCCTCCCCCCAACCCCCACAACTTTTTTGAGAAACAGAGAGTTAGGTAGCATGTGAGCAGGGGAGGGGCAGAGGGAGAGAGAGAATCTCAAGCAGCCTCAATGCCCAGTGTGGAGCCAAAGGCAGGGTTCCATCTCATGAACCATGAGATCATGACCTGAGCTGAAATTGAGTCGGCAGCTTAACTAGCTGAGCCACCCAGGCGCCCCTATTCCTTTTAATTTTTAAAAATTGTGAGTATATGACCATATTAGTGACCCTGATTTCTGTACCTGTTTGCTCAGACTTCAGTGAATAGTAATTAGGTTATAATAAAATGAAACTTAGAACAAATTGAATTGACATGTTAATTTACATGTGTCATTACTGTCATGCTGCATAACAATGGGGCCTTTGTACCTTCCTTACTGTTTCTTTCTGAAGATAATCCACTTCACAGCATCACTGGGGCAGCTCTTTTGAAATTTTACTTTCTTAGATGCTACCCCAAGATGGCATTGTCTGATAAAGTAATACAAGAAGAGGCAGTCAGAGCTGTCACTTAATTCTTGCATATCTGATTTCCACACCCTCACTTACCACGATCTTTCTTTCTAGCCAGCTGCTAGTGTAGAGACCAACGGAAGGGAAGTCAAGTGTAATGAACTGTTTCAGTTGTTCAGAGTTCTTAGCCTGACTCATAAGGTCCCACACAATCTGGCCTCATTTTTTGGCCATTCTTCAACTCTGGTCAAAATGTGCTCCAACTATACTGACTACTTTCAATTAAAAGAGCCATATACTCTTTGAGCCTTGGAGGGGCTTTGCCCTTACTGATCCCTCTGCTTATAATATTCTTGCTGACCCCTTCCGCCTCATCAACTCTTAGCCTTTGGATCTCAGTGTTATCCTCTTTAGGAAGACTTCCATTACCCTCAAATATTGATTTAGGTGCCTCTCTTAACTTGCTTCCTTACTTAGGTTTGTGATGGCATTTATTATATTCTGTTATGCTTGTTTCCTTGTTGGTCCTCCTCCTCCTCATTAGATCATTGAGCTCCTCCAGCCCTTGGGAGTGTTTATCATCATTGCATCACATTACCCCAAATAGTAAAGTCTCAAATACTTAATGAATAAGGCCACACACCATGTGTAGAAACAGGACAAGGGATAATTTGTGCCTCAAATGGCTGAGCTCATTAGTAAGGACTTGAGTGGGCACCTCAGTGTGAGACTAAAAGCCTGAGTTCCCTTCTGTAGGACCCCTGCACAATTATGAAGATTTTATAAAAAAGGCTTAATTGGCTTATGTATAGATGTTTGAGGTTTTATAAGTTCAGATGTTTTAGAGGAATCATAACTATTACTAAGGAGAGATTAAGTGCTTTGCAAAGGGATTTACCACAGTAAACCTTTAAATTTCCTGGGTCTTTATTTTTAAAATTCTTTTTAAAATGTATTTCTTAACGTTTTTATTTTTGAGCGAGGGAGAGAGCACACGAGTGGGTTAGGGGCAGAGAGAGAGAGGGGGACAGAGGATCTGAAGCGGGCTTTGCACTGACAGCAGCAAGCCCGATGTGGGGCTGGAACTCATAAACTGTGAGATCATGACCTGAGCTGAAGTTGGATGCTTAACCGACTGAGCCACCCAGGTGCCCCTAAATTTCCTGAATCTTACGTAGTTTTATACAAGTTTATTTTGGTACTTGTTGGGCCCTGTTAGTTATTGTGCCAGTCTGGAGGGATACAATTATGAATATGTAGAACCTTCATTTACAGAAACCATAAATTGTGTAAATCACTAATTGAGTGCTAGGGACATTTAATTAAATGCTATGGTATAGGTTTTGAGGGAGCACTAAGGGAGAAATAATTTCTTCTGATTGGAGGAATGGAAAGACTTAATGGTGGTGTGGGATTTTGAGAATTATGACTCACATCTCAACAAAGGCAGGTATGGGAGAGCAAGGGTGCACAAAGGCTTGGCAGCATGAAAAGGATATGGTGAATTTGCTTTCAATTCTGCAGGGACACTTTTCCTTAGCAAAACATCAGTGTTGATATAGGATAAAAATTTGCATATAAGTGTTTTTCAAAATGTGGGTCATGAAATCAGTTTAAAAAGTGGTGACCAGTAGGATGTTGGCTTTTTTCCCCCTAAGGTTTTAAGTATTCTCTACACCTAATATGGGGGCTCAAACTTATGCTCAAGAGTCATACGCTCTACTGACTGAACCAGCCAGGAACCCTACTAGTGGTGTATCTAAGTGGGGTAGACTGGAAAATAGCAGAGACTGGTGTTTAATAAGGGTAAATATGTCTTATTTAATTTATTTTATTTCATTTTTTTTCTATCATATCGTATCATATCCTATCTTATCCTATTCTTTTATAGAAAGAGAGTGCAAGCGGGGGAGAGGGACAGAGGGAGAGAGAAAGAGAATCCGAAGCAGGCTCCATGCTCAGCCCAAGGCAGGGCTCCACTCCAGGATCCTGGGACCATGACCTGAGCCAAAATCAAGTTTGCCCTTCAAGGGACTGAGCCAACCAGACACTCCATGTTAGTTTCTTATTATCCACTAGGTGGTGCAGTGAGGGGCCCGTATTTGGAAATTAGCCTGTCTCTAGACTCCAGCTTGTTTTAAAATTAGCAGATAGGTCTACTTAGTCAGAAAATCTTTCTCTTCAAGTTCCCAGGCATTCCAGCACGGGGTATCGAGATCTCCCTTTCCTCCGCAACTATAAATAACCTCCTTTTACAAATTGAGGAAGATAGGGAATCTGGGATCAAGAAGGTAAAATTTTTTATCTGTATTGTCATCTCTCAAAAGAAATCAGGAATGGTTTCCATTCTCCCATAGAGATCAAAGAAGATGCTGAACTGCAGTGGAAAGGATGGAGTTTATACCCCAAAAAGAATAACTGGTTTAGTTGGGTAACAGAATTAACTGAGAGGAGAGAAGGGAGGAGATATTAAAGGATCTCGTCCTTGGAAAAGCAACAAGTTGTAGAATCTGATTACATTCAGCAAACATTTTTTAAGAGCTTTCTATAGGCCAGAAGAACACAAAGTTGAGTAAGTTTAGTACCTGGGGTGCCTGGGTGGCTCAGTCAGTTAAGCGTCCGAGTCTTGATTTCAGCTCAGGTCATGATCTCACAGTTTCATAAGTTTGAGCCACACATCTAGCTCTGCGCTGACCCTGCTGACCTCCTTGGGATTCCCTCTCTCTCTCTTTCTCTTTCTTTCTCTGCCCCTCCCCTGATCATGCTCTTTCTCTGTCTCTCTCAAAATAAACAAACTTTAAAAAATTTATTTAAAGATAATGTGCTACTCGCTTGGGGCACCTGGGTGGCTTAGATGTTTAAGTGACTGACTTCGACTCAGGTCATGATCTCATGGCTCATGAGTTCAAGCCCTGCGCATTGGGTTCTGTGCTGACAGCTCAGAGCCTGAATCCCGCTTTGGATTCTGTGTCTCCCTCTCTCTCTGCCCCTCCCCCTCACATCCTGTCTCTCTGTCAAAAATAAACATTAAAAAACAATTTTTTGGTACCTGCTTTCTAGAAGCTCAAGAAAAAGAGGAAACACTCAACAATAATTCAGTGTGATAAGTAGGGGCATACACAGGGCACTGTGGAAGCAGAGAAGGGACCCCTAAGTCAGTAGAGGTAGGGGGCCAGGGAGATGAGATCGGGGAAGGTTTCCCAGAGGAGGTGACACTTAGGCTTTCATTCTGGAAGGATAAATAGGAACCTTCCAGTATCCTAGAAATCCACAGGGTTCTGCTGTACTCAAGTCTCCCCTGGTGACTTCATTTACTCCTATGAGTTCAACAATTACCTCTGTGCTAATAACTCTCCATGTTTCCCTAGGCCCAGTCATCTCCAAAACCTGCCCATCTAGTACCTCCTCCTTGAATGTCATTGTTCAAATTCAACTTGTCTAAAACCAAGCACTGAAAGAGGACCAAGGGTTTTGATTTTTGTGGTAATCATTCAGTTCTGGTCTTGAATGACTTTTCTATTTTTATATTCTATGATTCCCTAAAATGCCTTTTATAGCCAAACTCTTCTACTCAATGTTTATTTCCCAAATATAGCTTATGCTTTTTTTTTTTTTTAAATGTTTTTTATTTATTTCTAGGAGAGAGAGAGACAGCGTGAGCAGGGGAGGGTCAGAGAAAGAGGGAGTCACAGACTCTGAAACAGGCTCCAGGCTCTGAGCTGGCAGTCAGCACAGAGCCCGACGCGGGGCTCGAACCCATGAACCGCGAGATCATGACCTAAGCGAGTCAGACGCTCAACCGACTAAGCCACCCAGGCGCCCCAAGCTTATGCTTTTCTACATCAGTCTTTAAGCTTATACTCTTCTCATGTTCTTTGTCAAAATGCTATCTATGTTTGGAAGGGAAAGATTTTCTGAAGATAACATTAAAGGCAGAAAACATACATGACAAATGATTTATATTTTAATATATAAAGAGCTCTTGCAAATCAACAAGAAAAGACAACCACCGTAATGGAAAAAATGGCAAAGTGCCATTTTTTTGAGAGAGAGAGTATAAGTGGGTGGGGGGGGAGCAGACAGAGAGAGAGGGAGACACAGAATCTGAAGCAGACTCCAGGCTTTGAGCTGTCAACGCAGAGCCCAATGTGGGGCTTGAACTCATGAACCACGAGATCATGACCTGAGCTGAAGTTGGAGTCCTAACCAACTGAGCCACCTAGGTGCCCCCTGTAGATTTTATTTTTAAGTAATCTCTACACC